TTAGAAATAAAACCAGTCTGACACAAAGATTCTAAACAAGGCCTCACACCTAACATGCATTGTCTGACTTAAAATGTCACCTCTTCCTTATACTGACATCTTTAGTTCTCTCAAGACTATGACTTGAAAGGAATTCGGGGATTTGCATATACATGTTAATTAATTAAAACCTCCTAACTGATTAAAGATTTAACAGCGTCTTAGGTTTGTTTAATACATCCTCATCAGTCGTGTGACCCTTTGATATTTTACTTATAAATTCTGTGGCTGATGTTATCTCTCTCACTAACATCTGAAGAAGGGGCAAAGTTCTGAAAGCTTGTGTTTTCAGATAAACCTGTTGGAGTACGACCTGGTGTCGTGTGATTTCTGACCTTGTCCAACACCGTACCTCCACATCATCAATATTTGAAGTTTGAGTTTTTGTCACTCTTGAAATGTATGACTGCATTTTTGTGCATAGCACTTTTGTTTGAAAGAATCTGTCAGATGAACTGTTAGCTCTGTTTTCTGTCTTTGTAGCAGCCTGATTTTGAGTATTTACAGCATATTCTGTTTTTGTTTTAAGCTATCCCAGCAGAATTTTGCTTTTATGTTTATCTCTCCAGAAAGTTGAAAGGATTTCTAAAACAATGGATGTGAGGGACCTCTTCAGAAACTTAGACAAAGAAATTAATAGGTATTGTTTAGCCTCTGGAGAGAACAACTTGTAGTTAAAGTATCAGCTTTTCAGTAGAAGAATGGTTACAAAATTCTGTCATATCAGTTAGCAAGCTTGAATATAACACCATCAATGTACTTCTCAGTGGAAATGTAATTGGCCTTATGAATTCATTATGGAATGAGGAGTGTAGTCCCCGTTGAAGGATCCTGACCTGAAACGTTGACTTTCCTGCTCCTCAGATGGTGTGTGACCTGCTGTGCTCTACATTTTATCGACTCTGACTTCCAGCATCTGCAGTCCTTGCTATCTCCCAGTATAGTTACCTTTCAAGTTTTCCCTGATGCTTAATTCGTGCCAGATACAAGCCATTAGAAATTTCTTCTCCAATCACGTCTCACTTTGAATTCTATTGGTTCGTAGTTTTTTTCAGTCTCAAATAGGGCCACTATTGTACTTCAAGGAGAAACTCAGCAACATCTGTAGAGAGAGAAACGGAGTTAATGTTTTGAGTCCTGCCTTTTTGCCAGGACTGATTATGGTTGGAAAACTGGTTTTATTAGAGAGGGAGGAGGAGCGTGTAGCACAGATGGTGAGGGTTCCAGAGCAAAGAACAAAGGGGGTACTAATGGTAATAAAGGAGGGATAGAGATGTAAAATGGTGTAAATGGCAGGTAAGAAAGGAGAAGATGGATTCACTTTGTTGAGAGCAAAGCCAGCAAGGCAACAAGTGTAGGGGGAATGTAATCGAAAGGAAGGACAGAGTTCATGCTCTGAAATTGTTGAACACAATGGTGAATCCTAGAGGCCAAAAGTGCCTGAGCAGAACATGAGGTGTTGTTTCTCCACCCCTGCATCGAACTTCATTGGACCACTGTGCAGAGAAATGGGAGAGAAATGTTAGCATTGCACCATGGTCTTTTATTGAAATGGCAAGCATCTGGAAAGTTGGTGGTCATACTGTGGACAGAATGGAGGGTTTCTGCAAAGTGGTCACCCAGTCTAGATTTGGCATCTCCAGTGTAAAGGAGACTGCATTATTAGCAATGAATGCAGTAGACAAGATTGTAAGGAATACAAATAAAATGCTACAGCTCTGAAGAAGGGTTACTGGTCTCAATGTTAACTTTGTCTTCCATAGATGTTCCATAGTTTCTCCAGCAGTTTCTGTTTTTGTTTGTTTAAAATGCTGTTTCTCCTGGAAAGTGTTTTTTTTTTGTTCACTCATGGAATGGAGGTGTTACAGGTTGACCAGCAATTATTGCCCATTTATTCACTTGGATGTGTACTTACAAGTGATGATGTCTGCTGCCTTTGTCCTTCTGGATCTATCTAAGAATGTTTGCTAATTTCTACAGTGCATCTTTTGGATAGTACACTCTGCAGCTGTTGAGCATCAGTGATGGAGGGAGTGGATGCTTTTGGATGTGGTGCCAGCCAAGCGGGCTGCTTTGTTTTCAGTGGAGTCAAGCTTCTTGAGTGTTACTGGAGCTGCAGCCATCCATGCAAGTAGGGAATATATCATCACACTCCTGACTTGTGCCTTGTAACTGATGGCGTCAGGAGGAGAGTTACTCACTGCAGTGCTACGGTGTCTGACCTGCTCTTGTAGCCACTGTGTTATATGTGGCTATCTATTTGAGTTTTTGGTCTGTGGTAACCCCAAGAATGTTGATCGTTGGAGATTCAGTGATAGCAACACCATTGAATATCAAGGGGTGATGGGTTAGATTGTATCTTATTGGAGATGGTCATTGAATTGAATTTATGTGACATGGTTGTTACTTGCCACTTGTCAGCCCAAGCCCGGATTTTATCCAGATCTTGTTGCATTTGGACATGGATTGCATCAATATCTGAGGAGTCACAATTGGTGCAATCATCAGTGAACATCCCCACGTCTGACCTTATGATGGAGGGAATGTCATTGATGAGGTAGCTAAAGATGGTTGGACCAAGGAAACTGCAGAGGAACTCCTGCAGAGATGTGCTGGAGCTGAGATTGCTGACATCCAACAATCACAATCACCTTCCTTTGTGCCAGTTATGACTCTAACCAGCAAAGAGTTTGCCCCCTAATACCCATTGATTGCAGCTTTTCAGGGGCTTCTTGGTGCCACACTTAGTTAAATGCAGCCTTGATGTCAAGGGTTGTCACTCTAACCTCAGCTCTGGAATTCATCTGTCTGTTTGGGGCTTTGGCAGCATGGAGAGAGGAGGTAAAAAGGCAAGTGTAACACCATCTGTGATTGCATAGGAAGCTACCACGAAGTGGGGTGGGGTGTGCGAGGTGCACAGTTCAGGGTGTTAAGTATGATAGAGTATTGGACCAGGATGTCGCGGTAGGAATAATTCCTGGGGAGGGGAAGATGCGTTTGATGGTGGTATCCTGCTGGAGGTGGCAGTACAGTCGAGATGATTCTTTTGAATGGTTTTCTGTTTTTATTTCAGATTCCCAGAATCCACAGTATTTTGCTTTTATTAAGGAGAAACATTGAATGTCAGTGGGTAACATGAGGGACATCCCAATGAATCAACATGGAACAACCAAGGGGAGGTGATGCCATAGTGATAATATCACTGGTAATTTAGAGGCTCAGGGGCTCATACTCTAGAAACATGGGTTCAAATAACTCCAAGACACCAGGTGGAATTTACATTCAATGGGAAGCAATTCTTATCGTGATTATTTTTCTCCAATGGTATCACAATGACCTTGGATCACTAATTGGTTCACTGATGTCCTTTCGGGAAGGAAATCTTGCCACCCTCACCTGATCTGGCCTACATGTAACTTCAGACCCACCACAATGTAATTGACCCTTGACTGCCCTCTGAAATACATAGCAAGCCAGTCAGTTGTATCAGACTGCTACAAAGCCTTTTAACAGGAAAGGAATAAAATCAGATGGACCACTGGTGTCTACTTAGGTAGGGGAAAGAATAACAGCAAACCCAGCCCTGCAAAGTCCTCGTTACTTTTTTTTATTATTTATTCATGAAATGTAGGATTTGCTCGCTTGGCCAGTGTTTAGTGCACTCATAATTACCCTTGAGAAGGTGGTGATCTGCCTTCTTAAACTACTGCAGTCTTTGGGGTATAGGTACACCCACAGTGCTTAGAGACGGGGTTCCAGGAGAGCATACATCTGACAGTGAAGAAGCAGTCATAATTCTAAAGCAGGATGGTGTGTGGCTTAGAGGGGTATTAGCAAGTGGTAGATCATTGTGCATCTGCTGCCCTTGTCCTCCTTAGTGGTAGAGGAAATGGGTTTGGAAGGTGCCGTTGGAGGACCCTGGGTGAGTTGCTCCCGTGCATTTTATAGATCGTACACAGTTCTGCCCCTGTGAATTGATTATTAAAGGAGTGAATGTTGAAGTGTTCAAGGTATGGAGGGGATGCCATTGAAGTGGATTGCTTTGTCCTGGTTAGTGTCAAACTTGTTTAGAATTGTTGGAGCTGCACTCATCTAGGCAAGTGGAGAATGTTATATTATGCTTCTGACAAGTACTGGGGGGACAGGTGAATTAATTACTGCAGAAATCCTAATCTCTGACGTGCTATTGTAGCCACAGTATTTATAGATATTTTCTAACTAACTTGTTCAGAGATATTATTATATACTTCTGGGAGAGGTTGGACGTGAGCCTTGCTTCCTGGCTCAAAGGTAGAGACATTACCATTGCACCACAAGAGCTCATCCACAGTATTTGTATGTTTGTCCAGTTTGTTTCTGGTCAATGATCACTGCAGGAAGTTAATAAAGTGATTCAGTGACAAAGGCTAGTATTTGTTGCCCTAGACAAGGTGATGGTGAATTGCCTTTGATAGCCAGAATGGATCATAGGTTCACAATGATGTCTAGACAGCCTCCCACTAAAATTAAATCTCTGTATGAGAAGTGCATTTGTCTTTCAAGATCTGCTGTACTTCTCTTGTTTCTTCAGTGCAGGAATGTGTCTGTGGAGAAAAGAAAAGTGCATTGTATGCTTAAATGAGCTGGCAGATGGAATCTTGTGGGATATGTCATTTTGGGTGTATGATTTAGCAATTAATTGTTATTGCATAATTTAAATAAGAATGTAAAGTCAGATGGAAGATTATCAAACGATACTGAAGAAGAGGAGCTCAAGACCACAAACAAATCAGCCATGAACTTATTGAATGATGGAGCAAGATCCGAATGCAAAATGGCCTGCTCTTGTATCTAAGTCCTATATTTTTACTTAAGATGTAATTCCACCTACAAGGCCTTTTCTTGTAGATTCTACAACTGCTTTGCAATGTCATCTCATGATTGATTTAATGCATTAGTATCTAACATACTGCATTTTTTAGGTCTACGAACTTGATGGAACCTTACATAACAAGAATTGGTCTATTATGGCTTACCAGGAGGTTGCAAGACAATTCAAAAATGATAATCCTGACTTCATGGGAACTAAAGTGATTTTTTCTGTACATAGGTAGGATTTGATCATATAGAACTATTGTCTGCCTGATGTTCAAAATACTTCTATTTTGACGTGATTAGAAATTATGCACACTCTATTGCATCACAGTTGAACCTTCCCTCGTGTCAGGTTACAGGTTCAAATATTTTTTTCAAAGAAAGTTAATGTTTTGATTATACATCCTGTTTTACTATTTAACACCTTAAGTTGCAACCAGCCTAGTTTGGATGAGGGAATGCATCATGATACAATGAAATGCCATATTTAATATCAAGACTGTCTGGAGATCTAAGTATAAAAGGTCATTTGGCTTTTTAGTTATCATTTTAATTTTAAAGGTGGTGACAAATAGTTCGTAATAAACCTGAACATGACAGAATCACAGCGGGAAGTGAGTAATATTATTTAGTGATATACCTAACAATAAGCCTTCAGAGCCCTAGTTCTGGTAATGACCATGATTCAAGTCTGATTATATTTTTTTGTGGAACTGCATCATTTTGCCCTGTTTATATCTGCCATTGACATTTCTTGTATATTTCTTTTTAGAAAATTGAATAATGCGGAAATGAAGATTGCAGTGTATGAGGCCATGGAACTTTACAATAAATTCCCAGAGACTATGGCAGGCTTTGATATGGTAGGTTTTCCATGTTACTTCAGTTGTTATATTCCAGACTTTTCTTGCATTTATTTATTAGACCTTGAATTTGTTTATTTACCATACAGTCCTATTTTTGGGTACGAATATGCATAGGTAAAAGAAATGATGATATCAGGGTTATTCAGTATTTAAATTACAGGCAGATATTTGAGACTAAAGGTTAAAAAACAGGTAAATCTTCCATCTGAATGCTCTCATTAGAGAGAGACTGTTGGTGATGGTTTAACCTGAAGGTCACCAGGCCTCATGCAAGGTGTAAAGTTGAGAAAGGGAATCCTTCATGGTTCAGTGAACCAGTGCAGGAATTCTGCCCATGCTATTGATATTACGCTGCAGCACAAACTGGTCATCCAGCCAACTGAGTTAACTGACCCCCTTGGGACTAGTTAGCTATTGAAATTGCTTTCCATTATCCATCCTATTACTTTCTATTATCCATCCTATTATTAAAAAAAATACACCATTTGTTGACAGTGTTTTTAAAGTCTGCCAATCAAAGTTTTTTTAAATGCATCTTGTACTTCTGTGGCCCATCTCAAAATGATTAAGTGCTAGAGATGCTGGAAGGGGAATAATAGGAAGAGCATAGGTCCCTACCCAAGAAAAGGGTTCTTAGGAAACTTCTGAAAGCAAGGCAAAGAAGAAACTATTTTGAAATCAATTCAGGAGGACAGAGAAGTGTGCTTCCCTGAAAGATGACCAGTCTTTTTCATGTGAAAAGTAGGGGGTCTGAGGAGCTTTGCTCAGTTAGAGATGGCGGTGATATTGTGGGATTTAATTTATTGGAGGTGAGGAGCAACTTCGCAAAGAGATTAGAAGATATAAAATTAATTTGTAAATTTTGAAAAAACTTTACTTGAACTTTCTTATTGTTGACATTAATGCTTGTACCTATGATTATAGCTTGTGAGGTCCTGTTTGACCTTTTGACCTATGTCACTTGATAGCAGGAGTTGATATGTTAGCACCTTAAAAAGCTAGAAAATGTAACTGAGATATGTAAGAAATTGAACAAAATGGTATTGTTTTGAAAATATCTATTTATGTTCTCACCATTCTGTAATCTCCATTGGTCGTACAATTTCCCTAGCCTCTTCATTCCTTTTGACTTTAGCAACTCCCTTGCTTCATGCAACATGCTTGATTATTATCTACCTTCATCTCAAATTCTAGGATTTCCTCCCTATGTCTTTTGCCTCTCCACTTCCCTTTCCTTTGTTAACTTCACTGCAAACTGAAACTCCACCGCTATGTTTTGGTACTGATATTTTGATTACATCTCATCTTGGGATTTTATTTTAAACTTGAAAGCTCTGTATAGGTACAAACTAATGTATGTGGATGCATATTCTACAGTCAACCTGATTCCAATGCAGATACTTAATATGCTTGGATTAAATTCTCTTGTACACTTTTTTCAATGCAAAATATCAATTCCTTCAGGTGGAGAAGGGAGAAAGTCAGTGAGACAGTCTTAAAGTGTGAATCTGAATTGTAAATTTTCATGCCGATGGGCTGAGGAGTGGCAGATGGCATTTAATTTAGATAAGTGTGAGATGTTGCATTTTGGTAAGGCAAATCAGGGCAGGACTTGTACACTTAATTTTAGGGTTCTGGGGAGTGTTGCCAAACAAAAATACCTAGGGGTGCAGGTTCATAGTTCCTTAAAAGTGGAGTCACCAGTAGACAGGGTAGCAAAGTAGGTGTTTAGGAACAAAAACGAAGTTGCTGGAAAAGCTCAGCAGGTCTGGCAGCATCTGTGGAGGAAAAAACAAAGTTAATGTTTCGGGTCTGGTGACCCTTCCTCAGAAGAAGGTGTTTAGTACACTTGCCTTAATTGGTCAGTGCATTATTTAAAGGAATTGGAATGTCGTGTTGCAGCTGTACAGGGCATTGGTTAGGCCACTTTTGGAATACTGCATTCAATTCTGGTCTCCCTGCTATAGGAAAGATGTTGTTAAACTTGAAAGGATTCAGAAAGATTTACAAGGATATTGCTGGGGTTGGAGGGTTTGAGCTGTAGGGAGAGGCTGAATAGGCTGGGGCTATTTTCCCTGAAGTGTTGGAGACTGAGGGACAACATAGAGGTTTATAAAATCATGATAGGGTGAATAGCCAAGGTCTTTTTCCCAAGGTATGGGAGTTCAAAGATAGAGGGCACGTGTTTAAGGTGAGAGGGAAAGATTTAAGAAGGATCTAGAGGGTAACTTTATCATGCAGAGGGTTGTGCATGTATGGAATGAGCTACCAAAGGAAGTGGTGGAAGTTGATACAATTACAATATTTAAAACTTTTAAAAATGGATGAGTACCTGAATAGAAGGGCTTTAGAGGGATATGGGCCAAATGCTAGCAAATGGGACTAGATTAATTTAGGATATCTGGTCTGTTTCCTTGCTTTACAACTCTATGACTTTATATGTCTACTCAGATATTTCACTAAATTCCAGCTAGTGGATTACTTAAATTCCAGCTACTGCTATAGTACAGTTTTGAATTCATCAGGGAGAGTGGAGCATTAATAACAGAATAAGATGTCCTTGCCATTTGAACCAGTTTTGGCAAGTTCATATAATTTTGTAATGTGGGTGAGAAGTGTGAAAATGCAGATGAATGCAGGTATAATCAGTGACTCTTTTCCAATCAAAAGCAAGTTTTTTTAAAGGCAGTTGACCTCCACATTTAGCTTTTGTCAGCTAACAATTAAAGCTGAAATTGTTGAGCTAAGAAAGACATGATAATCTTTGTTGGTTTCATCTGTTGTAAGTCAATTTATAACCCTAAATGATCAATAGATTTTTTGCAATGTTCTTTTCTTTCTCTTTTTTTTTTAAACATTACACCTTGTCCTCCAGTTAGTTTGTGGATTCTTGCCATCTACTCCAGATGTCCAGGCAAGCAAATTAAAATTTGCTGCAAATCAAACTTAATGGTGCATAAGAAATGTCTTGCATTTTTCTACATTATATGTCTCTACCCATGGATTTTAATTTAATTTAATTTAATTTTATGAATTTTTAATAACATCATAAAATATAACTGAACCTATTTTATTACATCCAGTGTTGAACACTTTGGCTATTGAGCTCTTCCATGAAAGTTTTCAGCACAAATAAATTAGAAGATATGAACAAGTAAGAAATAGGAGCAGGTGTCATCCAAAGGGCCCATTGAGCTTCTTTGACCATTCAATATGAACAATGTCTGTGTTCTACTCTTTTAAGCCTCTTCAGAATCTTGGGTTTTTCAATCTTTCATTTTTCTAAACTTCAGAAAATAGAGATCCAATTTACTCAGTCTCACAGCGTAGCGCACCAGTCTATTCAAAGCAACCAGTCTAGTTAACCTTCAATGTAAAGTGCAACTTTTTGTTACAATCCCAGCTGATGTTAATACTGGATGAGTCAGATCACAAAGTGAAACCTGGAGACATGCGTCCGACTTTGCTACATTATTTAACCGTGGAAGTTATTGAACACATTTGCAAGAGTCTGCAAGCCTACCTTCAAAACAGAGAACAGAACCTTCTATTAAACAAGGAAATAACATGAACCATATTATACTCAACAAAAATGTTGGAAAGATTTCAGTACAAACCCTGGAAAAAGGATTTAAACTCTCATACTTTTTATCCCAACCATATCCTTACAAACACCAAACACCAGTGAAGATTCACCTTCTCCACACTAAGCCTTCTTCAGGCTGACACAGCTACAACCAATTTCCTTCCAGTGATAACAAGGTGTACAGCTGGATGAATATCTGCATGTTCACTAGATGCTTTCCTTCAACTGATGTTCCTCTCTGAGACACCTGAAACAAACTGCAAATTAAAATCACAATTACTTTAACTTCAGAGCAGACACATAGGTTCCCTAAACTCAGTTTTAGGAAGTACTGCAGGAATCCTTACTAGAGAGTTTAACCCTCCTTCTACTCTCTGGCACACAAACACTGACTGACCTCTGTATTTTTATGTCTGGATCTCATCCTGGACCCCAGTTGTTAGGCAACAGTAGTTTGTTTTTCTCCTATCCTTTCTAATACATTAAATGACCAACACCTATTCTTCAGTTAAGGGTTTAAAACCTTATTTTATTTATCAGATCTCCAGAACTCCCATCACCAAACCCATAAAACATCTCTAAAAATTAAACTAGAACCAGGGCTCCCCTTCTTAACACAAAATACAAAAAATAAATGTAACTGGGCAGCATGGTGGCTCAGTGGTTAACACTGCTGCCTCACAGTGCCAAGGATCTGGGTTTGATTCCCCCCTCAGGTGACTGTCTTTGTGGAGTTTTAAAATCTACCCACCCCTCCCCAAATCATGTGGATTTCCTCCAGGTACTGCACAGTTTCCTCCCACAGTCCAAAGATGTGCAGGTTAGGTGACCTAGCCAGGCTAAATTGCCCATAGTGTCCAGGGATGTGCAGGCTAGATGGATTAGCCATGGGAAATGCAGGGTTACAGGGATAGGGTAGGGGAATGGTCTGAGTGGGATGCTCTTTGGACAGTTGGTGTGGACTTGATGGGCTGAATGGCCTGCTTCAACACTGTAGGGTTCTATGATTCTACGGTTGTACCAAAATCCCACACTGCATTCAATATATGCCTCAAAGCGTTGTAAAACTGTAGCAAGACTTTGTACTCCAAGACCTGGGCCATAAGCTCAAATTTTAAGATTTTGTAAATTACTTGAACCTTTTAGTCAGTTTTTTGACCAGACAAAAAATTGGAAAACAGTAGTTTTGGTGTAACAAATTAAGGGGATTTATTATGTAACAACACAATACTTCAACAGCCTGCTGATAGTTTGAGTCACACAGAACCTTTACTCTTAAGAGAAAGCTTGTACAACAGTTCGATTTGACACTTGTTTTGGTCGATCTGACTTCATTCTTCCGTTTCTTTCTTTAATTTTCCAGAAACGTACTATGTTTTTCTTGCATAAATTTTATAAGTAACAGACCTAC